TTTTGTTTTTTTTTCTTTAGAGGGTTTGTTGGAACTAAATATTACAAAAGAGAAGACTAGCTAAAACCAAAGAAACGGTAATCATCGGTGGAAGAAAGTGTTTAGTCATCGACACATTGATCGGACAAGGTCCTGTATTAAACCTTGGGTGTCCTAATATCAAATCTTCCAGAAACAAGGTCCTGTATTAAACCTTGCGTGTCCTAATATCAAATCAGGTCCTGTATTAAACTCGTGTGTCCTAATATCAAATCTTGTGTGCATTCTGGAAGGATGAGAGGAAAAGCATCCTTACCACTGCAATATCGTCGGACACAACATGAATATGCTAATTCACTATAAAATTTTACGCTCCATTTGCTAAGAGATAAAAGAAAAGAGAAAAAAAACAAAAAAAATGTGAAAAAAATAAATAAATAATTTTTTTTATGATAATAAGAGGAAAAAGAAATTTATATTAGACTAAATCACTGTTTTATTAATTATTAATATTAATTTAACTTTAAAATAAGAGTAAAAAAGTTATTTAGTCATTAATTAGTAAATTTAAATTTTTTACCCAATATTGTAAATATTAAAATTGATAAACCCACAATTACTTTTATCCATCCTATTTGCATTTCGCTCGTCTCTTCCTTTCTATCAAATTACCCACTTTACCATTTTTGGCCAGTGATCCCTCCTTTCTTCCTCTTATTTTCCGCCAGTGATCCTCCCACTCACTTCCTTCCTCTTATCCATCATCCTTCCTTCCTCTTATCCATCATACCAAACATGTCAAGTTTATCAAACAAATAAAGTGACGATGTTGTTATGTACCCCTTTGAATGACACTCAAGTCCAAGGCATAAAGAAGCTAGAAACTCATGATGTTGGTCAAAATCAATTGTAAGGCTGGATTAGGTTGGTGCAGGTAAGATTTTTCCTTCCCCCGCCTCAAAGAGCACGAGTTATACATATTTAGTCTTAACAATATTAAAAAAATTTAACAACCCAATAATGTTTGGATTGAGTTAGGACGGTGTGAGGTGAGTTAGGTGATCAATTTCAACATTCAAAAAATCAAAGACTCAAAGTTCAATCCAACATTCAAAGTTCATAATCAAATAGATATAATAACTCTAACATTCAAACATATAGAAATTAGAAATTTAAAATTCAATCTAACATCAAACATGAAACAAACTAATAAATCTAACATCAAACATAAATTAGTCTACACTCATAAATTAGTTTTAACATAAAACAAACATAGAGACTTAATTTAAATATGAAGAAACTAAAAAGTAAAAATGAGTTATCTGCTTAGAATTAGATTTTGAAGATGCAAGTTAGAACAAATTAGGTTAGAGTGCGCGGGTCATTATAAGCCCAACCCACACCCCACTCGAAAACTTCGAGCCAGACATTGAATGGACCGAAAAAAAAAATTTAATACTAAAAATTATATTTTTCGGGTTGGGTTTGGGTGAGTTAGGCCTGCAGGTTTTACGGGTTTATGAACAGAACTTAATCAATTGTGCTTAGCAAGCTTTGTCTATTCAAAGGATGTGTGGCTGATAAGTTCAGAACAGTTGTTCATTCCACCAAGCAGCCACTGGATGGGTAATTGCTGCGAAGCGCTATTATTTTTCATTCACATTTCACAATACAGAAAATTGATAAAATAGGTTTCAATCATTCAAAAGCATCAAGAACATTGTCCAAAAAATGGCGGCCAAGAAGAAAAGAAGCCTATCACTTCTAAACAAACTCTTGGTTAGTAAAATCAATAAGTAGGACTTGTCTCGGCACTCAGGTGTCTCTCCCCGCACATCCTTATAACAGCTAACTATACCATTGCAAAACTAACTCAATAGAGCTCTTGGGAAAATGTGTAAATACTTGCTGACAAATACTTTTATTTCTTCTCTGTCTACTATCCCTAAAGGACGTTCCACAGATGCATGTTCTATTAAAAACTGCACTTTTTAGTCCTTGTGAGGGTAAGAATTTTGAAGGAACTTGGCATAGTGATCGGCCTTTTTTCCTGTTCTATGGTCGTAGTATTCAACCACCGCTGCGCCCGCCAATGCAGCTAGCGTAAGAGCCTGTGCGTGCAGCCTGAAAACATGACAAGCAAAGACCAAGATGTCAGAAACCAAACAGATAATAGACGCCTCACAGCACAAAGAGCAGATTATGACCCCCATATCATTTTGGCTGGAAAAGCTCAGGTAACCGAAACAAGAAGTAGAATTAGTAATGTCACAGGAGAGATTGGCACTTGATAAAGAAACATGAAATGCAACTAGGATAGATCCAAGGGGGAAGAGATAAAGGAAGGCATAAAAGTTTTAATCTAGAGTATCCACACCCCTGATCAATCAACTGTCTTTTAACAGCTACAAAAACCAATAAGAACATAAAGGGCTATATTTTAGTTTTAAGAGTTTGTATATTCAAGAATTCTCTGTCATCCCCTCTCCTCCAATAGAATCTATTTTGGGTATAAATGCAAGGAAAAACAGAGCCGACATAAAACCTTAAATGGCCATTCATTGGATGGATTAAAAAAATATTAATGAGCCAAAAATTTCCCCCAAATCAAATCTCCTGTCTAATTTTAGTATCCCAATTGGTGTCTAACCAAAAAATTTAAATTGCTTTTTAACCAACTCTTTTGTGCTTATCATAGGATGGTATGGCGTAATTTAATTGATTGAACACCAACAGAAGATCTACATCCATCTCATAGTAATTGCAAACTTCTATATACAAGCCAGAGCAACTCTTTACAATCTCAAACCAACGAGTGATTGCTAAAAGGCAATGAAAACCA